GAGATTCGAAAACTTTCACGATCGCAATATTAACCCTTACTATATATTAGATATATACGTAAGTGAAAGTAAAAATACAACTAGTAAATGTGCACACAGTAATAATACAATCACATGAAAACGTTTATTGAGAAACTACCCATTGGTAGAGCTATAATAATATATTTACATAAGTAGATCACACCATCTTCTTTTCAGACGCCTCAGAGGCCAAGAAAAATTTAAAAGTTAAGATCAAATTAGATCATAGTTTGAAGAAAAAAAAAAAAGAGGTTAAGTTATCAATGTAAAACTCAGTAAGAATAATTAGTAAATGTCCTGCAACATTACTTTTCAATACTTGGCTTAACGTTTCGGATTGTATATAATTTTTCAATATAATTTTTTAAGAGTATTTAACTTTTTATTGTTTTATATTCTTCATTTTATTATTCAAACAGGGGATGAATTGAATGAAAGATCATATTCATCATTAAACTGTTGGTTTAATTTTTCTTTTGATAGTTAATTAAAATTAATATATTATTATTCCTGGATTAACATTATTAATTCAAATATATTAGCATTCGTGGTGTATCCAAGATGTTGCTCCAAGGATTCAATTTTCATATTGTTATATTATGTTAAAAATATAAGTAAGATTTGTGATCGGGGCCCCAAGATACTCCCATGTTTCTCACCACTACGCTGAGTTAAAGTGGCTTTTCCCCTCCTTCCAAAGACAATATTTCCTAGGTACGTTCCTCTACCAAATCATCAACAACCATCGTCCTTCTTACGCCTACAAGCTTCTCCAGTTCAAATCCTCAGTCCATTCCCTGTCCACAAGATCTCGACCTTCTAACCTTTACATGCCTTCTCACAGATCTGCCTCATTCCAAAATTCCTTTATTGTTCGCTCTGTCAATTTCTGGAATTCCCTCCCTATCAAAATTTGACATTCCCCATCCATATCCACATTCAAAACCCTCCTATTCCAATTCCTATCCCAAAAACAGTCAGATAGTTGCTAACCATTCGAGCTGATTTTAATAGAGGATTTGACACATTTTTATTTTTTAATTCTTTATTTTTTTCGTAAAAGTGTATACTGGTCTATAAGAGCAAACAGCTTTAAGTGTCTTGTCATAGTATTAATGGTTTTGTATATAGTTTAGTTTGTTTTGTATATAGAATTTTTACCTTATATTTTTTTTTACATTATTTCTTTTTTTCGATTGATTTTATTTTGGCCAGATGTAATATATTAATTTTGGTCTATTTTGTTATTCTCGAGGGACTGTGTCCCAGAATAAAGTTATTTTTCTATTTCTAAAAAGAAAAGAAAAAAAAAAGAGGGGGCTTATATTTGACTTTTGTAGAAGAAAATATAACTAAATCATTTAAAGAGAAAAAAATAAATAAAAAGAAAAGATTTCCTGCTTGGTAGAATGTATAAAATTATAATTAAAAATGATGTTTATGTTGTATCCTACTTTTTTTTAATTTTAAAGATATTAAAATCAGAGATAAAACCCAGTAATGAAATTGTATTATTTTTTTGAATGAGATTAAATAATCAGTTAAGATAGCAAATGAAATAAAAATATTATTAATATGCTGAATTCATCAAAAACATGTGTAATTTATACAATGTAATAAAATAATAATTGTTAAGGGAACACAGCCATGTTCCCACTTTATTTAATTTGAATTTGCTGAGGCAAGTATTACTGCTGACACTTCTTGGCAGGCAAGAGAAGCAAAGAAATGACTGAATAGACAGGACTTGCAACTGACATGTCCACATAAGACTGGAGCAAAGCTGGCCAGCAAAGAAATTATATCTTGTAGTCTTGATAGATGAGATGGAGTAGAAGCACAACAGGCTTAGCAAGGAGAAGAGAGGAAGAAGAATGCAGCAAGTTAATTAATTCATTTACATCCACCACCCACCTAATTCGTAGTCAAAATAGTTGCAATAGCCATACTAAATTTACTAACCCACTACCCATTAATAGACCCGGCTTAATAAATAAAATTATAATGTAAATACAGTAACAAATATAGCAATATTTTCCACTCAATAGCTTAATTTTATTTATTTATTTATTTATCAACCCTGCCGTGCCTAGTAGGCAATACGGGTGTCTGCAATAGTAAGATGTTAGGCAGGTCAGCTTCAACATCTCACTGCTGCAAATGAATCTCGTTCTTCTGCTCTTTCTTCATTTTTTTCTCTTTCTTCATGGTTGCTTTTCTCATCCGTTTCCCGCCAATGGTATAGTACCTCTTCCTCCTCTTCTTAAATTAAAATGGGCTGGCCCCACCGCGACTTTCCACCTGTACACAAAATCTTTGTAGTACGGGTAGTTTTCCGCAGTGACTAACTGAGGAAAATCGTTCTCTGTGAAAATGTAGAGACCGGTTTCCCTCAGTAACTTAGCCCTTAGTTCTTCAAAGGCGGTGCAGTCCACTATGACGTGCTCAGCAGTCTCCGGAACACTGCAGCTAGGGCATAGGGGGTCGATGTCCATCCCATGCCAATGAAGCTTTGCTCGAAAGCCCCCATGGCCTGTGAGAAATTGCGAGAGCCAATAGTCCGGGACGATCCACCTTGCTTCTAAACGTGACCGGACGGTGGGGAAGTACTTCCTCAAGGTAGATCCTTTGGGGGTTATCACCCACCACCGGTTTCATTCCTCTAATGTGTCGTCCCGTATAATGTTTTTCCATTTGCAAGGATTCTCGTCAATTCTCACCTTAAGATGTTCCGGTAGACCTGCTGAGCCATTTTTCTTAAACATGTGCTTCATCATATCCTCTCGCAGGAGAAGGTCGAGAGGTAACCCTCCTGCTAATACCTGCACCGCCTCATGGGATACGCTTCGATACGCCCTGGTGACCTGCAGCAATAGCTTAATTATATATTAACTATATACCTTATATACAGTCCGCAATAGCACAATAAATGTGCCGGCACTGAATTATTATGTCAATATCCCTGACAGCCGTGGAGGAGATTGGCTTAATAAATTAAACAGTAATATATACAATTAACAACTTTAGCTAAATTAGTTTTTGTTAAATTAAGTGAAGAAAGAAAAATAAGGATGATACTAATTACTAATTAGTTACAATATACAAAACAATTATTGATTTTAAAAAAAAAATAATAATAAAATAAAGTTAGATTAAATTATTTATTGTTACTTATTATTAAATACTGTTTACATTATAAAAATAGATATTGTCAAATTGTTCCTGTTAAGATATTTTAATATTAATATTATTTTAATATAGCCCGGCAGTAACACCCAGTCTTAGGGATTAAAACATCAAAATAATGTGATAATACTGCTGGAAAGTCCCTAACCACCCCTAACCATCTGCTATTGCAATGCCCCAGACTAAGTATTGATAGGGAAAAATACCTAGGAGATTATATTGTCCAAAACAATTATCTTTAGAAAACCTTCTAAATATTGATAGTGCGGACAAACCCAGTAACATCTGTTTCTTTTTGTTAAAGGCTATATATAGGTATTTAGAATAAGGACTATATTATATTATTTTAGGAATAACCATTTATTTATTTATATGTATATGGCTTTGGGAAAAACTAGTGATGTTATTGAATCAATAATTAATTTTCGGATATACACTTTTTTATATTGTTTTGGGTTTTAGAAATAATTATGTATTTGTTTATTTATTCTATTTACTTATTGGGAAAAAATATATATATACATATTTTATTTTGTTTTGTTCTCTTTCAATAGGAATTTACATATGTATACTTATTTATATCTTTATTTGTTTATGCTTTCATTGCCATTCAATACTAACACCAAATTGGCCAAACTCCATGGCTAAATGATGTACATAATAGCCAATAAATAAATAAATTATCTATCTATCTACTGCAGGAAAGTCAGTCTAGAGCGATCCTTCGTTTAGGTTGGATCCACCTGTTAGACGTCTACCCCTCCCATTTTCACCAGCTCTAGGCTCTCTGGTCTCACCGCATCTGCGCCAGCCTAGCGCCATTTTGAAGATCCCAGCTGTATCAACATCGATATGCATATCGATTCCCTCCTCCCCCCTCCCTCTCCCTCCATCGACTCATTAGACAAATTAAATGGTTTTAAAATAAAGTAGGTATTGGCCTCGTGGAAATAGTCTAATAATAATAATAATAATAATAATAAACAGGCTTAGCGAACCCGAAGGTTCGATGCCGACACCACCAATCGCTTATTACACACCGCCCTCCACCGTTCGCCGTCCAGACCCAGTCCCTTCAGATCGGCTTTAATGCAGTCTTCCCACCTTCGCTTCGGTCTGCCCCTCGGACGCTTACCATTCGGCACAGCAAATATTAACCTTTTAGGAATTCTCTCGTTACCAAGTCCAACAACTTTACAAGCCTATTTGATTCGCCGCGATGAAATTACATCAATTATATTACCCGGATACAGTTCACGCAATTCGGCGTTGTGTAACCGTCTGAACTCTCCGGTTAACTCATCCTTTTTCGGTCCGAATATTCTACGCAGTGTCTAGCCTTAAGACGCTGCTCATCCCTTAACTTAAGCGGCCAAGTTTCGCATCCATAAAGAACTGTAGGCAAGATAATTGTTTTATAGATTCTAATTTTTAAGTTCCGGGACAAGAGGCGCGAACTAAGTAGTTTTGTCACAGAAAAATAACAAGCATTTCCCGCCTTCAGTCTAACCTTAATCTCTTCTTCAATTTCGTTTTTTCTAGTTATCGTAGAACCTAGATACCTAAATTTCTCTACCTGTTCAAACATATTACCATCTATATCGATATCACCAGTAGTATCGCCATTTTTGCAGCTAACCATATATTTTGTTCTATCCTAGTTCTTGGAAATAATCTAATAGTATTTTCAATTTTGTTTCCTTTAAAGTATCTTTAATTTTGTTTATTACAAATTATTCTCGAAATTACTTTTAATATAACAACATTTTACAAAATGACTTTCAATGTTTTAGTGGCTTCTGGGAGAAACGAAGAAGAGTCGCCAAACGGAAGCGAAAAGCAAGATTTTGATCAAACATCAGCGATATTTCCTTGTATATCTTGCGACAGCATTTTCCTAAACAGAGAAGAATGCAGGGAACACATGCGAGAGCACGCCAAAAACAAGACGCTCAGGTGCCGCTACTGCAACGAACGACTGCCCTCTATGAAGCGTCTTCTACACCACTTGAAGGAGCACAGGGCCGAATCTTCAAACAGCGCTCCTAATAGTATCACCCTTCCCAATCCCGAGATCCTGCTCAAAGAAAATAAGCTACCCATTGTCATGACATCAGGCTCAGACAAGGTCATCGACTCCACAAAACAGAAGCGACCCTATGCAAGCAAAGGAAGAAAGAAGGGCAGTTACTTAAATAGGACTTGCACTGACTGCGGCGAAGTGTTCATGTCGTCAGCCGCGCTAAAAAACCACAAGAAGCTCCATAACGCCGGGAAACTGTTGTACTCCTGTTCGTATTGCAGCTACCGCAGCGACTTCCCGACAGCCCTAAAAAAACACCTGAAGAAGAAGCACGAAGATTTGAAAGTGGTATATAAATGTGCAATCTGCAGTTATGTGGCGATTAACATCCAATCACTCACGTCACACGTGTCATTCAACCAACACTTCATTACCTAATAGTAATGATGGTAACCATAATTGGGCGAGAATTAATTTAGAAAGAACCAAACAAAAATAGATCCCACGTAATAATCCGTGTTAAAGGCCATTTTTATCAAATTATTAACATCCGCCTAAAATTTCGTGAATGGCTTCGACTTATCCTAATCTACAAATTTTTATTCAAAGAAAATTCTCAGAAATGGGGCGTTTTCTCGCTAAATTAATTAATATAATTAGATACTGAAAAATCATAAATACTCATTTGCTTTACACTTGAATCGTGAGATAATTTTATTAAAAATTCGAAAAGGAAGGTGCCTGCAAAAATATTGGGCCGTTTGGCTTACATAACCTCGTTATTTCAACATGTTGAAGGTGGATGTCACTCCAAACGGCCCAATATTTTTGTAAGAGACCTTTATTCTCGACTTTGTAATCAAATTATCTTACGATTCAAGTGGAAACTAAATGGGTGGTTATCAGTTTTTAGTACTTAATTAAATTTACAAAGTTTTCTGATCTTCAGGTTGAAAACACTCCAATCCCAAGAATGTTTGTAAATAATAAAAGTTTTAGGTTAAGATGAGAAGAAGCTTTTCAAGAAGTTTTAGGGGATGTTAATAATTTGATGAAAAGGGGTCTGTACCACGGACTATAGCTTGGGTTAATTACATCAGCTAACACTGTACATAGATAAATTTCAATAAACTATTCTTATTTTTCATAATGTATTAATTTAAATAATAAACGTCATAGTTTTAGATGTATGTTGTTTTCTTTTTTTTTTAATACAAGAGCTTATTATTAAAAAAACCATGTATCCTGACCGTAATCAGATCTTGAAAAGTATTTTAATTATTGAAGAGAAGAATAGTTGGAGTGATCAGTCAAATAAGAAAGCAAAAATAAATGATAATATTTATTTTGACATTTGTCGACGTTTCGACCTGCAGTTCAGACCTTCATCAGGGCTAAGAAAAGAACCAGATAACAAGGTATGAGAAACATAAGTAGTGATGGTAAAAAAATTAAAGTAGAATGAAGTTATTAGAATAATGACAATAGTAAGAACTAAGAGATAAATAATAATAACCGTTACAAGGTGTGGAATGATCAAGTAAACATAATCAAAAAAGGTGACATAAGTGTTAAAATGGGAATCTTAGAATAAAATGTAACGGTTATTATTATTTATCTCTTAGTTCTTACTATTGTCATTATTCTAATAACTTCATTCTACTTTTATTTTTTTACCATCACTACTTATGTTTCTCATACCTTGTTATCTGGTTCTTTTCTTAGCCCTGATGAAGGCCTGAACTTCAGATCGAAACGTCGACAAATGTCAAAATAAATATTATCATTTATTTTTGCCATCTTATTTGACTGATCACCCCAACTATTCTTCTCTTCATTATTCACGACAGTCAACAATTTTGACCACAATTATTTTAATTATTATTTTAAAATACAATATTTGGAATTCCAGGCGCTTCCACGTCTCCAATTGGTATGCCGAGTTGAAATGACTCTAAAAAAAAAAAAAAAAAAAAAAAAAACCTCTTAGCTTCTTAATTTGTTTACTCTTTGCTACTCTGTTCATTCTTTCAATACGAGATTCCAGTCCATAAATTTATTTATTCCTTCTCATAAAACGGTTTCCTTTAAAAAATCCTTTCTCATACGTGCTATTTGTTTTGAAATTCTCTACCTACTTCCATACACAAATCTTCATCCTTCATCTCATTCAAACACCACATTTTTCTATCTCCTCAGCAATCGATCTTCCGAATATATGCAAGAATGATATGTTTGTATTTTAGAGATGTCAGCTTACAGATACCCATAAATTATCCATATTTCCTAGATGAGAACACATTCATATATATTTATCCATAATTCAAATGTCAGCACAAGTTAACAATTAAATTATATTTTTTAATTTTTATATTAAAGTTCGATAGCTATGTAATTTAATTAATTCTTAATCATTTTCTTTTGCCAGACAAATGTCACTTAATTGTTCATTATAATTCTTACAGGAATGAATCTCCCAGAATAAAATTTCCTTTTGTTTCTTCCTTACTATTTAAAATACACTGTATTTTAATTATAAAGCATTTACATTTTTACTAGAATATGAAAACCACATTTTACGCTGTCTTAGATTTTGAAAAGTATAATAATATCTGAAGATTTTTCTTCTCTTTTCCTATGTCTATGTCGACACAACAAATTAGCGATCAATTTATAAAAACTGTTACATTTATAAAAATTGTGACAAAATTTATTTCACAAGATATGAGTGTAAGCAATGTCAGAGTCAACAAGATATCTTATAACAAAAATATCTTATATTAATAATAATAGTATTGCAATCTAAAATTATATTCACAATATAGAAAGAATACATTATAAAATCCATAATAAATTATAAAATACAGCAAAAAAATCAAATATGAAAATCATCCAGTCATTCCAGTCAAATTTTACTACTGTTTTTTTTTTTTTTTGTCTTTTTGTTTTGTTATTACTATTCTTTTTATATGTATAACTAATAAATAAAATCTAAATATAATTCAAACTAAGCATTATACTACTAACTATTGAAGAAATGCGTAGAAATACGGATTACAAATAAATATATATTACTGAAGGCTTTCAATACAATAGTTTTACCACTATTTAGCCTATTTATGACCGCAACCCCGGACCATCTCCTTCCTTTAAATATATATTACCAAAAACTAAATAAACGATCAGGGTATCGAGCACACAGTAGTCTTAGCTATTCTAATTGAGGAGTTTGGTGCAAGGAGGCAGCTCCACTTTGAGCCTCTGTTGGAGTTGCACATTCAAGAATTCAAAGTTCCATTGCACGTACCTGAGCCCATGCATTTGTGTGTATTCAGGTCAGTTGTATTTGATACCCCATAACCTAACAAAAGACTGAATATTTTTTGGTTTCGATGTAAACTGAATTTTTAATATTTAATTTTAATTTGCTACAGTCTGCAAACAGTGGAGCTGCCGCCTTCTTGCACCAAACCCTTTATTTTAGCTCCCCATTGTAACAACATAATAAGCTATACGAAATTCTATCGACATAGAAGACTAATCGATTTATACCATTGTAATGAACACTTGTTCAGAAAGTCATTGTGACAGCACTGCTTGAAAGGTTGTGGGAAATAACGTTGGTTAAATAAAAACCAGGAACTCATCAGCTTCTGGTTCTCATTTGTGCTCAAACTTCGAATTCAGCTGCTCATTACACTACGGTTCAACTACTAACCTGTTCCTACGTTATCTCCAAAGAGTTTATTTCATATCTCAGCAGAGTAACTCCTGCTCTCTAAATTAGAATAGCCAACAGTAACGGACACGTAAAAAAACTTGAACTAGATTTACTGGACCGGGACAAGACAACTACTGACCCCCATCACTAGAATAAACAACTTCGATCCGCAATTCCAACTTCTCACCTACCCTTTGCAATGTAACGTATGCTGTCCAATGGTGTCCATCCCGCATATTTCTCCAAATTTCGTTCGCACATCCTTAGAAACTAAGAAAACAAAACAACCTATATTAATGTTAGGCCCTTAATGTTACAGGGAATGAATCTCGAACTTTTTACTCTTGCTTGAATAGGTTGGTTACCTGCAGAATATCTCGCCCTTTGCGGAATAATTAAGAATTGAAGGAATAGTTGGTCGGAGGGTGCGGTCAACAATCATACACTATTTTGGTGTAATATTTATGTATAGTCTAACTTACAGATCTTTATCACAGCAAAAAAAAAAAGTTATATATTAATTGGTATAAGCTGCAAAAAATTAAAATAATAGTTGATGGTAAATTTGCATACGATATTTTTGAATATATACAAGGTAAAAAACTATTCTAGATGGTGAGGAATGATCAATAGTTTATGAAATTTATGTAAACAGAGTGAAATAGAATAAAACTAAAAGAAATGCAAGCCGTAAGTAATGATATGTTAATAAATTTACTTATGTCAAAACGATTCATAGGCCTAATTAATCTTGAACAATTCGAATTCGATATTCGAAACCATGCTAGTCACTAGCGGATCCAGGATTTAATTTTGGGGGGCCTCAGCCCGAAAGCCTCCCTCTCTCCCCCGTAGATCTGGCCGTGATACTAGTTAATGGTTTTTTGCAATATTTACTATTTAATTTGAGTAAGTAAAATTTGATATAGGAAAAACTATTCAAATATAGGCTCCCGCCGAATAAATATGGCAGCGCTCGCTTCGACCAATAGAAAAATGACATTATATGTCCCTACTGTCTTAATAAAGTCACTGTAACCAACTAATTGTCTTAGAAATAGTTCATTTGTGGTAAATATAAATATAATTATAAATAATTAAATCGATAAATATATCGATATAACGATAAATCGTTCATGAACGATATATTTCAATTGTATACATCAAAAAGCTCAATTCGGGTGGGGAGTGTTTTGTTTGGGTATTCGGTTCTTGAAAGTTTTTTACTGAATTATTGTAAGTCAGCTTGTAACCTTTCAAAAAACATTTAGTTGTTACATATTATGTAGCATTTAAAACATACCATGCCCTTTTTTTTATTATTATATCATTTGATTTTCTTGGTTATTGTTATTATTGATCTTATTATTAATTAAACCGTTGAATACATAAGTTGTTTACGGCAAAAACTAAAATTTTGAGATATTTAACGCTGTAATTGTAGTTTTGTTAATGTTGATATTTTATGATCATAGTTTTTTTTTTTTTTTATAAGCAATTACTGTTATCCCTTTCGAACATATTCATTCTAAAACATATCCAACTAATTAAAAGTTTAAAGATTTAATATTATCAATACTTAATTAAATACCTACAATAACGACACCCCACATTTTCCAATGGCTGAAAAATGTAAATTGTTATACCTGCTATTGCTTTAAAATATGACTAACTTATGATAATATAAATAAATCATTCTGAATCAGGTCAATTACCTTTTTTTTTTTGTATGTGTGGTTCACAATCATTTTAATCGCTGTGCGACGGTTCAATTATTATTAATGTTCTCTTTTATATCAACAGGGATTTTCGTAGTTCAAATAACTTAGATGCTCTAATAATTTTCTTCCTGTATCATTTTATTGTTTATCGAATTATTTATAAATCCACCTTGTTAGATATAGTTTTAACAATGGTTGTTAAATTACTATATTATAACATGTTATCAATGAAGAAAGCTTAACTAATCACTCTTGTTCATGGAATACCAAAAGAGTATGAAGGTGGCCGATCTCTTGAGTTACAAATAACTTTTTCCCATTAAAATACTTGTTTAACCTTCACCATATACAATTATACTATGTAAGCTGACTTATATTTGACATTTAGGTTACATCACGTAACCTTAATCGAGTTTATACATTTATTATGCAGCTGCAGAAAAAAAAAAAATGATAATAGATATAGTATTTCCAAGTCAAATTTAGAACTATTTAAATCTAATTGAGATTTCTCAAATCAAAATTAAAATTTTCCTAGTCAATTTAAGATTTTTTTATAACACCAAATGGATAGGTTATTTTTATTTTCTTAATAAATTCCTTAGATGTAGTATCTATTATGAATAATAAGGTTAGGCATTATAGCATTTAAAGTCCAATTTTCAAATTAAAGTTTGAATGAATTTTCTACAAGTAAAAACAAAATGTGTAACTTTGACACATTCCGCACACCAATTTTTGTCTCGGCAAAATTTTACACATTTCAAATCAATCATAGGATAGCAATGTTGCAAATTTCGTTACAGGATGAAAAAGGTCTCTTGTGGTTTTAAGTTTCGCTTCGCACACTGTACTGGGGGCATGTTAGATTTCCTTTACAAGACTAAGATATTGATGTTCTTCTATATGCGTGCCTTGCATCAACGTTACACGTTTTGGTTTTTACCTTTAGAAAATTCATATAAACTTTTATTTGAAAATTTCTAAAATTGGACTTTTAATGCTATAATACCTAACCTTATTGTTCAAAATAGGTACTACGTCTAAGGCACTAGCGGATCCAGGATTTAATTTTGGGGGAGGCTTCAGCCCGAAAGATTTTTTTTTCATATACATATAACGATAATAAATTTGAAAACAAAAGAAAGAAATTAACTACCTATATGAAATGGTGTTTAAGTGCTTCTTGAAGTCCTATTAAATGTAATTAAACGAACAAGAATACTTTAAGAGATAGTTTTTAATATTTTTTTCTGTAAAACATGATTATATTTTACCATTTTGGGAGGCTTCAGCCCAAAAGCCCTCCCTGCAGATCCGCCTGTGGTCTAAGAAATTAAATAAGAAAACAAAAATACCCTATCCATTTGGTTTTATAAAAATTCTTAAATCAATTTGGAAAATTCTAAATTTGATTTGAAAAAATTCCAACTTTATTTGGAAAGATCTAAATTTGACTTCGAAATACTAGAAAATAAATTATAGGTTAACAGTATAAACCAACTCACTGGCGATATTCAGGGTGAAGGAGCTTTCAGGATGAAGTCCTTCCCAAATCTAAAAATAAATTTTTTATTTCATTAGCCCATATTTATTTACATTAGTGCTCTAAGGTAAATACTAACACAATAACAATATGCACTCTTTAAATTGTAATTGAGTGGCTTCTTATCAAAGACTGACATCTGTCATTTTTAAATAGTTGAGAAAAAGCCAATTTTCTGTAACATAGCTTCAACTTAAATAAATTCTAATAATTTATTTTCATGAATCTACTTGAATATTCTTAAATAAAACCATCAGAAACAGTTTGAGTTGAACCTATAAAACAAAAGACTTTTTCTGAAAATGACAGATGTCCATTTTTGATATGAAGCCACTCAATTGACAATAAAAATTTTTTATATCTAATAGCTTTTTTGGGGGGTGGGGAGATTCCATAAACAAGTGTGACCAAGTGATTGTGAACCACACTTAATCTGTGCAGAATCTCGTGAACTAGTACCTAATCTTCGTATTACTTTACAAATAAATCAATGGATGGGGGAACAAGATCGCTTTAACAAACTGTTCATGGAATATTAAAGCGCTAACCTAAAGTGCTTGAACAAGTTTATAACTTCAGTGCTCAGCTCATGAGACCAAATTAATTGTTCTGGAGATGTAAATATGGATTAATAATCTATATAAATAATTTAGTTTTTTAAAATAAAAATATAAGGCATCTGTTAAATATGTTTGCACTAAGGTATATCCAGACACCACAAAGCAAATTATAATTTTAAATATTCATCATACTATTGTTTTCCGATTATATTAAGGAGTGGACAGATATCAGATACTTTGTTGGAATTTTGCTTACGATTATAACAAAAAGTTCAAGAATGCATTTGTATTTTACTTACTTTTTCAGGTACAAGTCATTGTGGTGTTTCTGTATTATAAGAAATGACTGATGAAAGTGAGTCTTCATGTAAGTTTTTCATTTTACAAATATTTTAATGTAACAAACTTTTATAGGATTCTTATGACTTTTACTACTTCTTTTAGTATATTCTATGTTTTATTTTTAGTTTTTTTTTGTTGTTTTTTATATTTATGTTTTAAATCAATTGTACCAAAACTGGTTCACCCCATTACATTCATCCTACCAACCAAAAATTGGGTGTTCTTGGGCAATTAAAATTAATCATTACCATATTCTTTATTATTATACTATATTATTGACAATTTAAAATAAATTAAGGGAGCTTTAACTTTTTAATAGATGCATCCATTAATTTATGGAATGAGTCAATTGATCTGTTTCTGGTTGTAAAAATAAATTTTAAGTTACAATTCATTAACATTTATATAGTTGACTCTCGATAATTCGAATTTTTCTACCGTTCAGTTGTTAACTTCGGTAAATCAAAAAATGGTGTATTTTTATAGCTCGATAACTCAAAATCGTTTTCGTAATAGAGAGGAAAGGATCTTCTATAATTCAAACTAGACCACTTACACTCTTTGTAATTCAAAATTTTCCTTGTAATAATTTTTACATGAGGCTATTTATATGTATAATTTATGCAAGCTCATACATATTTTCTAAAATATATTAAAAACTCTTAATAATTCAGTTTTTTTTTTTTTTTTTGATAATTCAAACTTCTGGATAACTCAAAGTCTCGATCATTCGAATTTTTCTTGTAGTCCCTTGGATTTTGCTGTTGTAGTATGTGACATAGTATATGTTGTTGACATAGCTGTTGTAGTATGACTTTACTTTGTGATAATTGTTTTGAAGATATTTACTTGGAATTATTCCATGAATTTAAGAGGTTTCTTTGTTATTTATAAGTGGAAGAATCACTTTAATTTACTAGAAACTGTTAATAATGAAAAAAAAATTGTGTTTAATATTATATGATAGGGATCATGGATAGAAAACATTTTTCTTTCCTAAGACTCAAAATAGCTAAACATTATCTCAGACTGTAACTATAATTTTTCATTTTACAAATATTTTAATATCGGTTGATATCGAACATAAAATAAATAATGGGAAAAGAATAATAAGTTCGATAAATTCAACCCTATGGAGGAAAGAACTAAGATTAGAAACTAAAAAAAAGATATACCATTCCTTTGTAGAAAGCGTAGCCACTTACGGATCAGAAGTCTGGACACTGACAAAAAAGATGGAAAATAAGTTGCTTTCCATGGAAATGGATTTCTGGAGAAGAAGCTGTGGCATATCCAGAATCGAGCGGATCCCAAACGCAGCAATTAGAGACAAGGTCGGATGTCAAAAGAACATCCTTCACCTGATCGGGACCAAACGGTTAAAGTGGTATGGCCACTTAATGCGGATGGATGAGAACCGCTGGCCAAAGAAAATTTATAACTATATGCCACCTGAAAGAAGGAAGCGCGGAAGGCCAAAGAAGAAATGGATAGAGGACGTGGAGGAAAGCATGGCAGCCAGAGGGCTTCGTGAGGGAGATTGGATGGACAGGGAGCAGTTGCTTTTGGGTATTGGGGATATGACTCCTTGAGTTGTATAAAACCCAAATAAAAAAATATTTTAATGTAACCAACTTTTATAGGATTCTTATGATTTTTACTACTTCTTTAGTATATTTTTTTTTGTTTTTTTTTTTTTTTGCTTTATATTTATGTTTTGAATCAATTGTACCATAATCAAACTTAGCATAGTTTATCCACTTAAAAGTTCTTTTAAATGATCTTAACTATAACAAATTTTACTTTCTATTGAAGACAATTTTTCAAGTTTACTGTAAAGCAATTGTTAATTACTGAAATTCAATATTTTTTAGGTATCTTCCTATTCAACAAAAAAGTGACTTAAAAAAACACAAGACTTAAATTTGCTATTTTTCTGCAGAAAATCGGACCATGTTTATATATAATTTTTTGTAGCCTTTGAGGTTTGATATCACCCCTTTAAAAATTTTCCTTCTACTCATGGGATATGTATATAACAATATACTTAATTTATTGTTTATTGTAAATACTGAGTTATTTAGACTAGAACTTTGTTATGTCATATTGTTGGCAACATGTTAAAGTAACGAATATTTCAAGATTTCTTAATTCTTATTGAGAATCATTTTTCAGTTATTTAAATTATGTGATAAGGTTAAAAATTTATCGGCAGTTGTCAAACAGCTGTTTGATAGTTCTAATTTGAAATTATTTGATTTGGTTGCAGCTTCTTCAATTAGTATCAAATGTGAGGAAGGGCAGGAGATCTATTACGGTGAGTAAACATAATTATGTAATGAAAATTAATTTATGACAAAGAGTAGTATTATAGATGTGCAAGATTCTCCTTAAAAATTCCTTTCCTATATCATATAGAGTCAGCAGTTTAAATCCTTTATTCAAATCTGTCCTTCTGGCTTCTACCCTCTTCTCCATCGAACTGCTGCATATAACAAGTCCTTCCTAATTCCTGCTGCCTCAATCTGGAACTCTATCCTGCCTATCATATACCATGCCTCAGCAGTTTCCTCGTTTTAATCTAATCTTTTTCTCGCCCAGTCCGATTAATTTTATTTTGTGTTAAATTACCTATTCTTTTATGTCAAATGCTACTCAAAATATTGTATGCTACTTTTATTATTTTCATTGTTTGTTTTTTTTATTGCATTTCTATTGCTTTAGTTTTTGTTTTAACTATATTCCTCTATATTATATTTTTATTTTATCAAATTAATTAACATTTATGTTCATAAAGTATAAAAATAGTAAGGCCACACTGCTCTGCCCACTATATGATGCTTATTTGATTTCTTCTAAGTGTACTATGTCCCAGATTAATAAAGATATATATTTTATTAATTTATGCCAAAAAAATATTTTCTTCCTTAATATATATAATGTATATTTTCTTATTATTTTCACTTACCGATATATGTATTATGAAGTAAAGGAAAATATTACGATCGTGAAAATTTTCGAATCTGAGTTTACAATGGAAATACAAGTTTTGAGGTCCCTGAGTCCAAATGACCAAGTCTCGCAAAATGGTCTGTGTGTGTGTGTGTGTGTGTGTGTGTTTATGTATATAGGTTAACAGTCTAGCTCAAAAACGAAAAGTTGCATGCAACTGAAATTGCTTATTTAGGTTTGTACAATCCTGGGATGTTACAACTTTTTCGTTTGTGTTTTTTTATCGGCTGACCACTTATCGGAAGTACCACTTTATATCATTAATTTTACACATTTTTACAATTTTCTCAAAATTGCTCTAATGATTTTGATTAAATTCATTGTATCTGTGTAAAATTAAGCTGTTTTAACTAATAGTATAAGTAAAACATATATGTGCCTGTTTATAGTAATTTGTATATATTTATATTGAAAATAGAAGTTATATGTATATATATAATAAATAGAGGAATTGTTACATATATAAGGTAATATATGTAACTAATAAGGTTGGTAAGTTGACAAGGAAATGGGGAATATGAAAAAAAAAGTATTAATTTTTTTAATTATAAACTATTGCTTGAGTAGGCAATAAATGTTTGAATTTGTTTTGCAGATCTTTTCTTTGTCTACTTTGTGGTTTAGAAGCGTCAGCAGTAATAAAAACCTTAAAAATTACTGCGTCCTGACTATTTATCATCTAAAATTTAGTTTAAGTGTACACTTTTTTTACTTTCACTTACCTATATATGAAATAGTGAGGGAAAGTATTGCAATGAAAATTTTTGAATCTGAGTTTTAAAAAAAAATACATGTTTTATGGTCTCCTGAGTCCAAGTCTCACAAAATGAACTCTGTATGAGTGAATAGTATAGCTCAAAAACAAAAAGTCGAACGAAACTGATATTACACATTTAAGATAGGTATATCACTGGGATGTTACAGCAACTTTTTCATTAAAATCGGCTAACCGGAAGTGCCACTTTATAAAAATAGTTATACATATTTTTACAATTTTCTCAAAACCGGCTCTTAACGATTTTGATTAAACTCAGAGTATCATTGTATAATGAAGTGTTCTATAATATTATCTAGGTCTTATCCACATTGATAATGTAACTTTACAGAGCTTAAATGTCCAATGAAACAAAGAAAATCTTAACATCAAGATAAATAGAAAAATAAACAAAACTGGCATTAATAAAATAAAAATCAGTAATTTATTTGATCAAGAAGATAACGCTAAATTAAACTCAATCAATGCCGAAAATATTAAAGTAAATCATATAGTTACAAATACAATATAAAAGGAATTACATACATCCTTTGGAAAAATAATAAAAAACAGAATGGTAAACAAAACAAATAAACTCCTAACATGTGATTGTCAACCCATCAGGTTTTTTGTTTTCTATTATTTTGAAATGTTCACATATGGAAAACAGTGACTATTTTTCAATTTCTAAAAAATTGCTTCCTATTTCTCTTTTTTCCATCTTCTTTACAATAAACAACAAGTTAAAATCAATAACCTAACACCTAGCTAATTGTAAATAACAAACGATTCACTCAGTTTACACGTAAGTGGATGGAAGATTTCATAATACAATCCTAGTTCCTACAATCACCTGTTCTTTTTAAAGTAGATCATAAATAAGATGAAGTGTGATGTTAATGCCGTGTTAACTAACTCTATTTAAAAAATTATTTAGAGCAACTGAACCCAAATTTTAACATTGGTTAAGTTTTAACCTGAGTTACATAACAGAGAATGTTAATTTTGATCACCACTGTTGCAACCGGACCTAGTTGTCAATGCCTGTTAAGTCGGAAAAATCATCATGTAACTTTTTAGAAAATTAAATTAGTGAATAATCTGATGAATTTTCCCTTTGTGAATTTCCTACATTACCCACTTACAATTAGTGTGACAAATTTTCACCTATCTATGACAGGAATGAAAATCTCGTAATTTCATTTTAGTAAAGTTTATGATGGGAAATGATAGTTTAATAACTAATAGGCGTACAGTCGATTATCATTTATAGATTTAATATACAGATATATTTTCAAATCTCTCTAGGCATATCTATATAGCTCAAAGACTGGAGTTATGTGGTTTACAAAAACAAATGGAGTAATGAGATTTTTATTGCCCTACCATTGATATTATTCATGGGGTTTTTGTTATTTTAATGATCTTAACTATTTGTTAGCTGTAAGCTTTAGGCTATAGCTTCGTTAAAAATCCACTTCAAAAATTTAATAATAGCCCAGCATTGTCAGAAAATAATTTCTATTCGAAGTAAAGTGGTAAGTGAAAGTTGTGTGTTACATGCACCAGATTTTTTATGTTTGAAATATACTTTAAAAATATATAAAATTTGCTATTGTCTTGTTGAAAATAATGTTTTTTATCTACAGGTGGGCTTGTTCACATGAAAGAAGAATGCGAGAAATTTGTTCCAGGTGAAGGTGAGAAAATTTATTATATTAGCCAATCTATGTTTTAATTTTACTTTGGTCTATTTGTTCATCAAATCTTTTTTTTTTTTCTTTTCTACTTCACTAAAGTAATTTATCATTTTTCTTTTTATAGTATTAGTATTTTTGGATACCGTTAACTATTATACTGTGGTATCCAACAATATAACATAAGTGGAAAATTATATGCACATATGAGGTAATGTACATGTGTCGAAACATTTTATGCATCAGCAACATTAATAGATTATTTTTATTTTATTTTTTCTCTCAATTTAGATACTATTCTTGTGTATAAATTGGTTATATATATTTTTCTTAATCAGTTTAGTAAAATTTCATAAATCAAGAAAACATGCAAGTCAGAGAGAGAGAGAGTGGGGGGGGAGGAGGAGAGAGACTGTGTCAAAGGTTACATACATCTGAACAAAAAATGAAATACATCTGAAAGAAATAGAATCTTATGAACAGGAAAAATATAAATTAAGAAAAACAATTCAACAGCTTAGTGATGTGACAGTTGCTTATTCATTCCACGATTTCTATTTTCATTACGTTTTGGCCTTTTACTCCACGTTCAAGCCAATTAGTGTATTTTACTTCTCAATACTACAAAATTTGATTATGCATACAGCAATCCAATTATGCAGCATTGAGAAATAAAATAAACCAATTGGCTTGAAGATAGAGTAGTGGCTGAAACATTGCCAGGAAAATAGGAATCATGAAATGAATGGTGGAAAAATAACAGCCCAAATTATTTCAATACCTAAATAAGTATTTTCCTATAAAAATTATGAACGTTATAAATGTTTTCAGATGGCAAGTGTAATGAAATATTTTCTTTTCTTGGTATTTTGGCAGGTGAACTCGGTAACATGAAGCAAGAAGAACAACTCATCCCAGAGGAAGGTGAGAACTATTTGTGTTATAGGTGAAGAAATTTTTGACTGTTGGGAAGCTGGTTGGGGTAAAATAAAAATTATTTTATTTATTTTTTCTCTCTGACTGCAATATACACCATAATTGTGCTATAAACTTTTGCCATTATCTATTTTTTCATCTATAATTATTGATAACATCCCGTTATTACAATCATCAATAATTTATTTTTAATATTGCTAACCTATATATGAAATACCTAGTTAGGAAAAGGCTGAAAAAATTGACAGATTTTAAAGAAAGTTCCTTAGATGGATCTTCGGACCAGTTTAAGAGTCAGGAAGATGGAGAATAAGGACAATCAAGGAAGCATGTTCGTAAAAGTTCAGCGTCTTAAATGGCTGGGCCATGTCCACTGGATTTATAAAACAAGAGCAGCCAGAAGACTATACATGTTTAATCCAGATGGAATGCACTCTAGAGAAAGACCCAAAACTAGGTGGCAGAGCAATGGGAGTAGTGACCTCCGAAAGCTGGAAATAAGTATCACCATCGTATAAGATAGAGCACAGTAGGAAATATTGGTTGAGCAGACTAAGAATAGCTCTATACATTTGTTGTGCCAATAAAAGAATTACTTCTGATTCAAATTTAAAAAAGTGCATAAGCTGAAGTGCAGCATTGAATTTGATAAAATTCATATGGAACCGTCTAAGCACCAACCCGCACAATCCATGAAAATCTCATAAACGGTAGTAGGTGACATGCCTGTTACATCGATTTTACAACAGACACCAAACCAAATTTTATTCTTGATGTCTGAAACATTTTTTTAATCTCTCGCGCAAATACATTGCATCCCTACTTTCGGTAGTGAGGAAGCAAAAGTATGATTTTTATTTCTAAACAGAACTTAGCTTAATTTTACCAATGATAAACTCTACGTTCATGTAAAATGAATTAAGAGGAGAAGGAGTTAATCAGGGGTTGCGGTCAAATAGATAATAAATTAAACAAATAATAATTATTTAATTTTTGCCGACATTTCAACCCACTTTGCAGGTCTTCTTCAGGGCTACAAAAGATACAAAACGTGGTGAAAATAAAATAAATGAATATAAGTAGATATAAAATAAGAAGTTGTCAGATTCAGAAATAAAAAGATGATATTAGAGATATAGTGGGTGACAATGTAGTTAAAATATCAAGTATATGTAGAAGATACAAACAAATGGAAAAGAAGTATGAATAAAAATAGAAAATAAAGATATTTAACTACATTGTCACCCACTATATCTCTGATATCATTTTTTTATTTCTGTATCTGACAACTTCTTCTTATTTTATATCTACTTATATTCATTTATTTTATGTTCACCATGTTTTGTATCTTTTGTAGCCCTGAAGAAGACCTGCAAAGTGGGTTGAAACGTCGGAAAAAAATTAAATAATTACTATTTGTTTAATTTAGTATTTATTTGACCACACCCTCCCCCCCTCTCCAACTCCTTCCCATATTATATCAACGGTCAACCATCTCTACATCATTAAAATAAATTAAGTCTAATTAAATTTGATAAGTATTTGTTTCTGACTTCATTCATTAATATTTTAATTGGTTAACATTTTCAGTTAATCAATTTTTGAACTTTGTTACAGTTTGTACGGTTGTTATCAAAGAAGAGGAAGGCCCAAGCATCTGTTATGGTGAGGAAAATATTAGTTGTATTTAATCTTTAGATTAATATAAGAAAAATCAATATTCTTCCAAGACCCAAAATTTTTTATTTGTCATTGCATGATTGTTTAATGGTCCTCCATTGATGATTTCAAAGTATCACATTACCTCAACAACATCTATAACATGTTAATCGAATTCTACGAAAGAATTATATAATTTTATAAATTAAAATAACCAAGTAGCATTTGTTTTGTTGTATAACGTATTGGACTTATGAAAAGCAAATAAACTAAATATGTTTCTCATTTCTAACAATTTATTTCAAGTTTTTTTTTTTTTTTTTTTTTTAAATTTACAACTGTATTACATGGAAAATACAGAAAGTAAATGTGACATTGGTAACATGACATGTACAACATGAAGAGAAACTACCCATTGGTAGGACTCAAATTAAAGTTCTATATTAGAAGGTCCCGAGGCCATCTTCTTTTCAGATACCTCGGAGGGTTATCAGGGATTGAGGAGGAAGCAAGGTTTGAAACGAGAGGATTCGGATGGTTCTGCAGTTTGTTATGGAAGGATAAGTATCTGGATTGGGCCAAATCGGAAACATATGAAACAATAAGGTCTTTATGGATGATTTTATTTGTGACAAAGTAAGGAGCGTTGAGGATTTTACGAAGGATTTTGGATTGTATTATTTGAAGTGAAAACTTCTTTAGGCACGCTCAGAACTTTATTTCGTGGGTATTGAATGATAATGAACCGTCACACTCTGCTATGTAACGCTTATCAGGTTTGCTCAAATCGACTAATTTTTGTATTTGGATTAAAATATCTCAGAAACTAAAAATCGGACCTATATATAAGCGATGGAAATTTTCAGTATTTATCCTCATTATAATGCGCTATAATTCAAAATTGTGTTTTGACATGACACCGAGTTAGATAGGGTAAAAGTAGCACCAAAAAAAACGAACTGATAAAATCTGTTTTGAATATTTGGACTAAAATATTTCAAGATTTTTATACCATGGAGAATTTAGAAACCGATTTGCAGAAGTCAGTATAGATAGTTTTTGGTTTATTATCACAATAATCAACCATTGTGATCGACCTAAAAATTCAAAAACTTAACCCCCTCTCAAAATTTGAGGTTTCACGTTTCAGGATGCGTAGAATTCGAAAAACGAATACAAATTTTTTTGTCCGTCCGCCGTCCGCGCATTTTCTCTGAAACTACTGGACCGATTTTTTTTAAATTTTGATATAAAATCTGAGGTCACCCAAGGATGATCCTCCTTCATCGACATTATTATCCACCTCTTACTTTCAAAATGGCAGCCGAAAAACCTGCATTGCTATAGACTGTAGCGCCTAAACGAATGTATCGATTTCAATGAAACTTCGCTAAAGTCATTTTCTTTACGCCCTTTAAATTTATCTATATAACATACTTCAACGAAAAGAAGCAGGAAAAAAAATTACGAGGGATGGTAAAATTCAATTCCGAATAACTCAAAAAGTATACTCTTTTTTGTGGATGGTATTGTAACAGTTTTTTAAAAGTTTTAGAAATTTCCTAAAAACCCCCCAAAAAATCTTTAAAATCAGACAATCAGGAGCAAAGATATGGTCTCCGGTTTTGTTTTTTATATGTTCTACTCCAAATGTTATATCCTTTGTTTGGTTTCTAAATTTTGAATGTGTTACTGAAGTAATGATATTTTTTTTCAGCATATTATGATGATGAAAAAAAAAAAATGTTTACTCCAATAATTGGAATCACCTTTCATTTATTTATTTTTCTTTGTAACTAGAAGATAATGTTACTTTAGATGTATAATTGTTTTGAAATAATAAACCATTTTGGAATAATTTGCAGCGTTTCTTAATTAGGTGTTTTGACAAATTATTGACTCCCGTTACAGAAGTTTTATTTTTTAAAAATTTACTATTCTATTTCCAAGCAGGATCTGCTCTTCTGAAACGAAACCTTCATACATTACCAATGATTTTGAGCAGAGTTTCAATGTTGATTTCTGAAAAAACACATCAAAGCCTTTAGTTAATTTTTTAAAATCAATATTAGATTTAATGTTTTGAAATCAATATTAGATATGGATATGTCGAATGATCCACATGATAAAACAACAATTGATGGAGTTTTTGTTAAATATTTAGCAAATAGATTTCAATCAAAAGTAATCATCGCATATTTTAGTTATTATAAACTTATTTTATCATTTTTAGAGTATTACGATCAGTCAGAGCACTTTTTAACCATATTATTTTATACACAATTATAATTGTTATTATTTTGTGTTTATAAAATACTCATATATTTCATATTATTAAGCCTGCTTTGTTGAGTTTATCACTACTATCATGTGATCTTGAGCATACATCGTAGTTATTTTTTAAAATAGAATTTGGGCACTTGTTCAGTTGAAGCCCCACCGTTAAGGTTAATCTTGTTACTTTTATTATGGAAACATAATGTTTGATTTTTTTTTTTGCACTTTTTCGATTATTCGGCACTTTTCACAGACAAGGGGAGAGGGCAGGGTATTAATGCTAGAGTTTAAAGTGCCTGAGAAATCTGAGGAAAAGCGGTTTCTTATGTGTGTGTATGTGTATATATTTAACTAGAGAAATAAAGTTGGACAGAATGAGATGTTAGTACTTGCGCATTAATATTAGATGATGTCCTTTTATTGTACTATAATAAATATTTTTTATGTGTCTGCAGATGGTCTTGTTCACGTGAAACAGGAAAGTGAGATACTAGTCCCAGATCAAGGTGAGAAAATTGATTGTATTAGCTATTATATATTTTATCTTGGTTGATTTGTTCGTCACATCTTTCTGCTGTCCACTTTACTGTAAAGGATTTATCAATTTTAAGAAACCGCAATCTTGTATTGATATTTTTTTTCTTTTTTTTTTATTATTATTTCTTAATATTATTTACAACTGTATTAAATAAATACATCCAGTAAATTTGAACATAATGGATATAATGACATGAAAACACTTGCTGAGTAACTACCCAATGGTAGCACTCTAATGATATTTCTACATTAGGAGATCACGGGGCCATCTTCTTTTCAGACGCCTCGGAGGGTTATCAGGAATTGAAGAGGAAGCAAAGTTAGAAACGAGAGGGTTGGGATGATTCTGAAGTTTATTATGGAAGGATAGGTATCTGGATTGGGCCAGATCTGAAACAACAGAAACATTAAGGTCATTACGGATGGTTTTATTTGTAACAAAGTAGGGAGCATTGAGGATTTTATGAAGGATTTTGGATTGTAAGGATTGGATACGAGAGGAATTCGATGGTTTAGTGGAGCCCCATAGCTCAACTCCGTAAGTCCAAATAGGCCTTATTATAGTCAGGTATATGAGTCTTTTGTAATTAATTGGAAGTTTAGAGCGTTTGTCCAGTAAGTGCTGAAGTAATCTTAAACGTCGAGCGGTTTCTTGTCGTTTCAGTCTAGTATAAGGATTACAGGTTAATCATTTGTCCAGGTGAAGTCCTAGGTATCGGATTTGCTCAACAGGGATTAGTGGAGTATTGTTAAAGGAAACTGTAGGACAGGAAGTCATTGGTTTACGACGTTGTATTGATTTATTTTAGATTTTCAGACTTCTTTTATATAAAGGTCCATTATGATATTTTTGGAGGCTAGTTTATGATAATACTATCTATTTTAAAATTGTATAGTGGTGTATTTATTTGAACTTTCTAGATTTCCATTATATGAATGTCCATTATTTCATCATAGATCTAATTTTTGAAAATACCATACCAGTACCCCACTTTGAACCCACTGACACCATTTTATCACCATCAGCTATACGTTGGTTTTCTTCAAGTATTTTGTAAATATATAATAATTAATTAATTGGAAATATTATTATATTATACTCATATATACTAACCACTTCTGTATATTTATATATAAGTTTTATTGTCCTACGGATTAACTAGTACACTGTGTGTACAGCAACCCAATATAATTGGGCAGCAAGCTTTTATATTTTATATGAGAAGGAGTTGAAAGATATTGAAGGAGTTGATCGGGAGGTGCGGTCAAATTAATACTTGTTTTTATCATCATAACCTTGTTTTACACTTATACTTACATTCTAAATTTCTCTTCTTATAATTATTGTTTTCTTATTGAGTTATTTATACTTAATAATCTATCCTAACGATATTACACTAATGTTATCCCTTTAATCTTTCAATTTCTTTACTTCTTAACCTTTAGTCCCATTATCTATTTACTTACAGTTATGAAATGTAACCTCTACTAGCTTGTTATCCACTGATATCTTATTATTATGTTATCTTATTCTTATTTTAGCTTTACTTTATCAATACTTATTCAATTTACAATCTATTTATTCGTTAACATTCATTTTCTTTATATGTTAACCTACATTTATCAAATATAATCTTTATTATTTTTTTATACACTCATTCCTTATCTTTTATCGCAATCTGTTTACTTTTAACTTACATGCTATATTCTCCTTTACTTTCTATTTTTATTCTTACTTATTTTCCATTTTTGTTTGTATCTTCTACATATAATACTTGATATTTTAACTACATTGTCACCCACTATATCTCTGATATCATCTTTTTATTTCTGTATCAGACAACTTATTCTTATTTTATATCTACTTATATTCATTTATATTATTTTCACCATGTTTTGTATCTTTTGTAGCCCTGATGTAGACTGATTAAGACCTGCAAAGTGGTTCGAAACGTCGGCAAAAATTAAATAATTCTACTTGTTTAATTTAGTATTAATTTGACCGCACCCTCCGATCAACTCCTTCTCATATTATATCAACGGTCAACCATCTCTACATCATTTTATATTTTATATGAAAATAAAGTGTTTCTTTCTATAAAGATAGTCATTTATTGATATTGTATCATTCTAACAGTATTTTCTTATCAATTTTGTTATAATACCAATATTGAATGATATTGATATCAAAATGAAATGGTTAAATACTTAACAAACATATCGTTGGTTTAATAAAAAAATTCATTAAGTGACTTTTCGTAACCTTGAATCACTAAGATAATTGAAATTTGTGAAATCAGGAAATTGTACATTTGCTGTAACTAACTATATTTGATATATAAGGGTTTGTATCATTTTAGTGCACTTACGTTAAAGTTTATCGATATGTAAAGTCGAAATTCACAAAAATGTTCTTAAAAGTTCAGCTCCATTCAAAATATACTTAATTTTTTCAATAAGCCGACGACATTAGTTCTTTTCTTTGGTAATATTGTAACTCCATTTTGTAATATAAGGAGATATTTAAGGGTTAGTATGTCAATGCTTTAAAGAATATTTGTTTAATGCTAATACGCTCATTTTTTAATGATTAAATTTTAAATTGATTTAAGTTTATAATGTGAACTTAAAAAAAAATTTCAAAATCCAATATTGAATTTTTTCTTTCCATACTGGAACCGCATTTGTTGAGTAAATAAACATGCTGAATTCTAAGAATGAGTTTAGGAACTGTCTGATGAATTTCTGATGCCATTGATGAGCTTAGTGCTGAATGTAGAAACTTTCTCATAATATGATAAATATATTCTTTTCATTATTATAAACAATGTCAAACAATGAAAAATCTAGAAAACTCTCAAACTAATTGGTGTCTGCGTAAGTTTCATTTATTTTGTTAAATTTTCAGGTATAAGCAACTGGAATATTTCTGCAAAAGAAGAAATGGTCATTGAAACTGGATCTACTTGTAAGTTTTTCTCTTATCTACTTGTTTACTGAAATGGAAATTTGAGATACTGTTACATTAAAAAAATTATCAGTTACATGTCATTATTGCAAAAAGTCGCTAAGTTCATTTTTGATGGATTTGAACTTTTAAGGACGTTTTTGTGAATTTAGACATTATTTATTAACCAAAAAACACAGCAAGTGCACTAAAATGACACAAACCCTTTTAACCTCTACTAATGCTTTTGGGGTAAAATAGATCTCTTGAAAAATTTTGAGTTTTCATCGGAAACATTTATCACGAAACTTGTCGAAAATTTTTTTTAAAAAGTTATGAATAAGTGATACTTAAAATTGAAACTAACAAAATGAAAGCCCTGTGCACAGAGAGGTATCGGGTATCTATAAAGGAAAAGAATCGCCAAAGTCGGGCGCTCTCAGCTGTTTTCCTTATTTTCCAATCAAAATTTAGTTATCAATCAATTTTCTTCATCCATTATATTTAACCATTTTTTATAGGAGGTTACAATGTAAAATGGTTGATTATTTCAAATTAAAAACATTAAAGGTACTTTATAGGAAGAGATTTTGTAAATTAAACATCCAAACCCTGTTAGAGAACCCCAATGAGAATTGTACCTACAATATATTAAAAACAGCTTAATTTTTCACTGATATAATAAATTTAATGAAAATCTTTAGAATCGTTTTAGATAAAAATATGTTAAATCGATGCCATTTCTGGTTAAACTATTTTGGAAAAAAAGTTGCTGTAATATCACAGGTTTATACAAACCTTAAATATGCAATTTCACTCTCGTACTACTTTTTATTTTTATATTTAAATATACGTTTTTTTTTAAGGATTGATATATCCTTTATAAATATATGATTTATTCAAGTTTTAACAACTTTTTGAGCAACTTGGCTCATTTTCATGTTATCTTTATTAAGCCAAAAAACATTTTTAATAATAATAATATTGGCAATCCAATTTATGATTCCAATATTACTGTGGGAACTTCCCGAAAATCCAAACTTCTCTTCTTCTTTTCTGCCAGCTCCATAGGGGCCATCAGTGTGGAGGAACAGCCTCGGCTGATCTCGCTCACTGATCCCTGTTGCTGGTTACTGATCCCTGTTACTAGTTATTGATCTCTGTTACTGGCCCTCCTTACTGTCAAAAAATCCGACCTAAATTTCAACATGTTTTCATATATAATCCTATTATGTTTATTTTTAGTCCATAAATAGATGTTTTTATTTTCTAATGCTCCATCTTTAATTAGAAATTAATTTCATTTAATATATGAATGTAATGTTGGCCAATAAATAGTAAATTTTTTTAGGGCTTATCAATCCTTGAAAACACCGTGTATAAATATTAATTACCTTTACAGCTTATCTATAATGAAAAATAAAATGGTTGTAAAGAAATTTTCTAGTGAAATAAAAATTAAAATACTGCTTTGTATTATATAAATCTGAAGACCGGGAACGAACAGAGGATTTGAATTAAAGGAGCTCAGAGATGTATGAAGGGCGTTGGGATTGGATGACTTGAAAGAGGAAGGATGCCAGGAAATAATTATGCCGGTAGGCAGGATAAAGTCACTTCAACTCTGCATAAAAACAGGATCCCTTGGGATTCCGAAGATGAATCATACAAAACAATTTATCAAACATTTTAGTTTCGCCTCGAGATCTTGACGCCCCCATATACCGTACAGGAATAGTCAAAGTGGGGAAAAATTAAGGAAGTGACTAGAAGCCTATGGGTTCCAAGTGGAAATAATTTAGACGTTTTAAGGTGGAAATGGTTCGGCAGGAGATATTTGATACATGGTTTTTACAGTTTATTACATCATGTTTTCTCTATTAAAACATTTAACTTTGATACTTCACAATGAAGATCTTATCCAGATGATGTGGTATTTATTGCTAGGGAGAGGAAAAACAGTTTAGATGAAGTTATTCAAATATATATTCCTAATAATTTCTTTAAAAAAAATTTCAATTTGACACCCTCGTGATATTTGTGCCACCTTTAAAAACCATATATGAAGAGATTCTTCAACTTCTGGATGACCGCATAAGTAGATCTTTTCCATTTGGAGACACAATATTTCACATGGAACAATTCCAATCATTTGTATTGAGAAACAGAGCTATTTCTATTACATCACTCATCAGTCAACTTTAAATTTTTTTTCATAATTGGTAAATGGTTGACTGTCGTGGATAATGAAGAGTAGAATAGTTGGGATGGTCAGGCAAAAATTAAATGACAATATTTATTTTTACATATCCCGACGTTTCGACCTGAAGTTCAGGCCTTCATCAGGGCTAAGAAAATAACCAGATAACAAGGTATGAGAAACATAAGTAGTGATGGTAAAAAAAAAAATATATAAATAAATAAAAAATTATAAAAAAAAAATAAATAAATAACAACTTCGTCTCCCTGCAACACTTAAGGAGACAGGTAGTACTTCTTTTATTTCTTTCTTATTTCAGCTTTCTCAATTTCTTCCCTCCTTCCTTTCATTCCTTTTCTCTGTTTTTAACTCTTTATTATATTATACATTGTCTGTACATCTTGGTATACTTTACAATATCTCTATTTTCTATCTAACTACTCAATTCTCAATGTCTTAATTTTACTATTTATTTTCATTTCTTATATAACTTCATATTTCTTTTTTATGTTTTACATTTTATTCTAAGATTCCCATTTTAACACTTATGTCATCCTTTTTGATTATGCCTACTTCATCATTCCACATTTTGTAACGGTTATTATTTTTTATCTCTTAGTTCTTAGTCATTATTCTAACAATTTCATTTTACTTTATTTTTTTTTTTTTTTTTTTTTACCATCTCTACTTATGTTTCTCATACCTTGTTATCTGGTTATTTTCTTAGGCCTGAACTTCAGGTCGAAACGTCGGCATATGTAAAAATAAATATTATCATTTATTTTTTGCCTTCTTTTTTGACTGACCATCCCAACTATTCTCTTCATTAAATTTTTTTTCTTTCTTGTTCCGATTAATAAGAGTTAGAATTATCGAGACCTTTATGCAAATTCTGAAATCTGTTAAAACTCATAGGGTCCAATTTCCTGGCACTATCCTTGCATTGTGATCTGAGGTATTTTTTTGTCATTTTCCTCATCGACAATCAAATTTAGTTCTTCAATGCAGTATACAGTTTTGAATAGGATTAGACACCTATGCAATTATATCAATGTCATCCGCAAAAGCAAGAAGCTGCCCCAGCCTGTTAAGTATCGTGTCAGACATTTGAATGCAAGTGTCTTTTCAAGAACAAGAAGGAAAAGGAGGCACGACAAAGTATCACCCTGTCTTATTTTGATTTTTTTTTATTGAAATTCTTCCAAAATGAATTTTCAAATTAAACATCACCTCTTCTATTGTTAACTAAATCAGCCCGATAAACTTCGTGAAATTACTGGACTGAAGTATTGCGTTATAAGAGGACCCTACACGGTAATTCATGAATGAACGTCACAAGAAGTGCCAAGATTGCCCGCGATCGCTTTGATCATGAAGACCCTTACACGTTCAATCATTACTGATCATTACTTATCGTTGCTGATACCAATTTAGCTCAGTTGTAAACAAAGAAATAGCATAGATATACTTATTTGGACATTGTCATTTATAATATTGGGCATCAAGAGAAAAACAGAGATATAATAATTACTTCCTAGTGCCTGAAAATCATTTAGACCAAAGTTAGAAAAATATAAGTCAACTACATACGAAAATCTAGGAAAAGTATTGCGAAAATAATCAATTTGTTAAGAGAAATGGAAAAATTAATGGCAAATAAACACAACATTTATAGATTTTTTTCCTATAAGTAAATTGTGAAGTTTCCACTTTTTTTTCTCTTCAATTTATTGCCTACTTGACTATTTAAAGAAAAAATAGTTGAAAATGGTTAATAATAATATAGACAAGGGATATAAACAACTATTTACTTAATAACGAGACCTAGGTAAACTAACCTATCAAGTAGTAGTCTCATAGAAGGTTAGTCTCATTGAAAATCGTTTTGACAAAAGTTAGTAAAATGTAAGTCTACTACTTACAAAAATTAAGGAAAGGTATTGCGAAAATAATAAATTTGTTGAGGAAAATGGGAAAAGAACTGATAAATATACACATCGTTAAAGTTTTTTTTTTCCTAAAGTAAATTGTGAAGTTTCCTCATTTTTTTTTTTCAATTTGTTGCCCACTTGACTATTTAAAAGAAATAGTTGAAGATGGTTTAAAATTATAAACAAGGGATATGAAAAATTATTTAACTATTTACATATAATGAAATACAGAAATTTATAATGGTTGTGAGGCCTAGGTAACCTAACCTATCCAGCAGGATGGTTAGTCTCCCCACTACTTTTGCCTGTCCCCCCTCCACTTCTCGTGAATGAACCTTTGATTTCCGGATGTTGGGTGCAGCGCACCACCATCAGTACTTCATTCACTACCTTACACGACAATTCGGAACGTCATTAGTGCAATTCCGATTGACCGTGTAGGGTCCCCTATAGAGCTTTGCATGATCAACTGTATCATAGGTTGATTTGGAGTCAATGAATAGGGGATCTATTTCAAAATTTTTAGTAGTTATTATTAGTTTTATAATAATTTGAAAATATAATGAATGCATTTAATAATTATTGATTTAAATAATTATTATTTTATTTTTGTATTATAATTTATTGCTTACAGGTTCAAGTGATTATAAATCTGTTTCACCTCAAGATTTGAAAGGAAATGCAACAGCCTGTCACATTGGTGAGAAGCCTTACAACTGTCCTCACTGTGATTTTGAATCTATGCAATCTGAAAATTTGAAACAACATATAATGTCTAATCATGCTGGTGAAAAGCCTTACCACTGTCCTCATTGTGATTATAAATCAATACATTTTATAAATATGAAAAACCATATTATGGCCCGTCATACTGGTGAGAAGCCTAATCAATGTTCTTATTGTGACTACAAATCTATTACCCCCTATGAATTAAAAAGACATATAATGGTTCGTCATACAGGTGAGAAGCCTCATGTTTGTTCCCACTGTAATTTTAAATCTGTTACACGCTATGAGTTGAAAAGACACATAATAGCCCGTCATACAGATGAGAAACCTAATCAATGTCCTCACTGTGATTATAGCTCTCTTACACCTTCATATTTGAAGAGTCATATAATGGCCCGTCATACCGGTGAAAAGCCTCATCAATGTCCTCATTGTGATTTTAAATCCGTTACACCTCGCGATTTGAAAAAACATGTATTGGCCCGTCATACGGATGATAAGCCCCATCAATGTTCTTATTGTGATTATAAATCTGTACTACCTGAGAGTTTGAAGGATCATATAATGGCCTGTCACACAGGTGAGAAGCCTCATGTATGTCCTCATTGCGATTATAAATCCGTTAAACTTCGGACTTTAAAAAATCATATAATGGCTAGTCATACAGGCGAGAAGCCTCATCAATGTCCTTATTGCGATTATAAATCTGTTCAACATCTGACTTTAAAAAATCATATAATGGCCCGTCACACAGGTGATAAACCTCATGTTTGTCCTCATTGTGACTATAAAGCAGTTAAACATGATACCTTGAAAAATCATATAATAGCTCATCACACCGGTGAGAAGTGTCACCAATGCCCTCACTGTGATTATAAATCTGTTGTTCCCCGATATTTAAAAAATCATTTGATGGCCTGTCATTCTGGTGAGAAGCCTCATCAATGTCCTCATTGTGATTTTAAATCTGTTACCCCTCGCGATTTGAAAAAACATGTAATGGCCCGTCATACTGGCGAAAAGCCTTATCATTGTCCCCACTGCGATTTTAAATCTGTTACACCTACATGTTTGAAACATCATATAATGGCCCGTCATACTGGTGAGAAGCCCTATGAATGTCCTCACTGTGATTATAGATCAGTGCAATCTGCACATATGAAAAGACATATTATGGCCTGTCATGAGAAGACTCATGATGTAAGTTATAATTCAGGAATTGAAACTGTTAATACAGATCAGTCTTAATTAAAATTGAAGCAATTGCTAGTCTTCAAGGTGATAATCGCAGAGTGGTATCTGTACTGGTGGGAGGAACTAGTCTGGCAAGTGGGCCTTCTGTTCCTTTTTGCCATTCTCTGGCGGCTACCTTAAGGTTGCTGCCACTCACTTACCAGAATGGGAATGTCAAGATTCATTTTCTGGAGGTACAAAGAAATTAATATTAACCGACTCATATGGTCTTACAGGAAACGAGCATCACCACTGCTCTTAGTATGATTTTAAAGTTTAAATTATCTTTGTATAATTATTTGATAGTGTAAAGAGTTTGTAATTATATCTGTGCTTTGAGATTTTTTTTTTTCTTAGAAAAACAACATTTCTTTCTTTTATTATTGTATTAAAGAAATTTTAATTGTTATGGAATTTTATCCAAACTAGAAGGATGAAGAATGACCATTAGTACGTCATTTTTTAAGTTAATTTTGTGGTAAAAAAAAAAAAATTTTATATATATATATATATATATATATATATATATATATATATATATATATATATTGACACTTTATTGTACTTAATTCTATTTCTCTCTATGAGATTATTGTTTTCTTAATTCTGTGTAGATTCTATACATTTTTATCTCAAATTGAAATTTTTTGATTATTTTATTTTTTAGTACAAAATTCATTACTTCCTAATTATGTTTTTGTATACGAAATAGTCAATAAAATTCAATTTATTATAAACCGTATTGTTTTATTTTTAACTTTGTTTTTTTATTAAATTTAGCCCTTGCCCACGGCCTTAGTTTTTTTCATTCAGGTCTTCAATGAATTAGTCAAAACCAGTCAGATGAGTGATTTGTAGAGAATGATTTTAATACGATTGATCACTATGTGGCTTCTAAAGTGCTGACTTAATCAATATAATAAATACGAAATTTAAACATACATGTATATATATTTTTTTTTTACAATAGTCATATCTACAGCAATGAGTGTTGAGAAATTACACTGTTCTGCAAAAAAAACATTATTTTTTCTCTCCCTTGAGACATATTTCCTGATTTTTATACTTTCATTACATAACCCAGGGCCTTATATGATAAAAACAATTTCTTTGTCATTTGTGGTTCTTTTGTTGCCACAAGTTTTCAAACGCAGACAAAACTCTTTTTATTTCCATTTAATTATGTCGCCAAAAACATTCTTGAAACCTAACACTTGAATTCTTGGAATTTACTCTAATACTTTGTCATAGCTTCAAAATTAAATCTTTTTTTCATTTTTTAAATGATAAAAAAAATGCCCCAACTGTCAAATTTTTTTTAATTATAATACAAATTTGACATGAAATGTTGCCTGATACGAGATTTTCTGCCTTTGGATTCGTGTTCAGCATAGATACCTCAAAACATGAATAAGATATCTATTATAGGGAGAATTTTGATGCAGAACAGTGTTACCTATTGTTAAAAATCAATAAGACTAATTTGAAGGTGTTATACCCAGTGACAGGTGTTTTCTTTTAATAACAAATATATTATTAAAGATTTTTGTTTTATGTCTCCAGTTCTAATTTGTTTATGGAGATTGGCTTTGTGTGATTTACTGTAGTCTATGGGGCACTAAATTTCCGATAATTTTTTTTGTGTGTAGGTTGAGTCACAAAAAATATAATTTTCAAAAAAATAAATCTAAACCCTCAGAAAAGGTCAACATTTTAAACAAAACAAAATTATTTTTCTTTTGTTTTATTTTTCGATTGCTATAAAAAATCCTTTTCATGAGTTTCTTAAGTGGAAAAAACAAATACCTAGTTTGTTTCTTCCTAAAAAAAAATTTGCTCCCAGTTTATTTGTTACACATATAGTACGCATCGGTTTCAATATTGTTATAGGATTGCAGGGGATTAATACAAAAACAATCAAGATGTCACTCTTATGGAGGCTTCAAGCAAATAGACCCTAAGCTAGGAATGAAGGAGCTCTCATTGGTCTGAACCAGTGTTGCAACCTTTATTGTTTTATTTTATTTATACCTTACAAACTATTTACATTATTAAAATACACTTCTCATTCAAACAATTGATAAATAAAAGATAATAAAGGAATTTTCTGCAATAAATGTACTAGAGTTTTCTGTCAATTACAATGTTCTTTCTAAACTGGCCAAGTATGAGGAATGACTTAGTAACACCTTTGATGATCCCTGTTTGGAATGGGGATGAAATAATGGTAAATTCATTGCTGTCGAATAATGTAAGGATAAATACACAGGGTATATTAGGTGTTACTACCTTGTATTTAGCAGTAACTACAAAAAGGGGGCGGGGTGGCCGAATGGGCTAAAGCATATGCACTGCACTGCAAGTTGCCTGGCAACTCGATAAGAGATTTGAGAAGATTAAAAAAGTTCCCATCCAGGTGTGGGAGAGGACTTTAAATTCCTCGCCCTCATCCTCCAGCCCAGGAAAATCCCTTATAGCCTAAAAGGTGAGGTAGGGAAAAAGAAGAAAGAAAAAAGCAGTACCTACAAACAACATAAACATAGCCGAAGCTCTACTCGATAACGGCACAAACATCGATATGAATGGACCAAAAGAAATGACAACTTTGGTGGCCCTGCTTTGAATGGTGATGAAGCTATGGTAACTTTATTGTTGTCAAATAACGCAAGTGTGAATATAAACGACTAGGTTGGTCATACTGCCTTGCATTTCGCAGTAATGCAAAATAATATAAATATAACCAAAGCACTTCTCAATAACGATGCTAACCACAGGCGGATTTACGGGGGGGGGCTTTCGGGCTGAAGCCCCCCCCCCAAAATGGTAAAATGTAACCATGTTTTATGGTAAAAAATATAAAAAAATTATGTCTTAAAGTATTATTGCTCGTTTAATTACTTTTAGTAGGGCTTCAAGAATCACTTAAACACCATTTCATATAGGTAGTCAGTATCTTTCTGTTTTTCCAACGTAATTATCGTTATATATATGAGAAAAAAAGCTTCCGGGCTGAAGCCCCCCCCCAAAATTAAATCCTGGATCCGCTAGTGATGCTAACGTCAATATTGAGGGACATGACGGAGAGACACTTTTGATGTCTGCTGTCTGGAGAAGTGATGAAGCTATGGTCAAGTTCTTGTTGTCAAAGAATGCACGTGTGGATTAAAAGAACTGGAATGGTGAAACTGCCTTGCATTACGCAATATATGAAAAGAACATAAACATAGCTGAAGCTCTTCTCAATCATGGAGCTAAGGTCAATATACAAGAAAAAAAACGGAAAGACACCTTTGATGAATGCTCTTGGGAGAAGTGATGAAGCCATGGTGAATTTACTTCTTTTATGAAATGCTTTCTTCGAAATAAGAGACGTTTTCGGTAGCGGCGTAATACACTTGGCAGCTCAGGGTGGATGAGTTAAAATAATTGAGATGCTTCTTGGCCACGGTGCGGATGTCAATAGTGAAAGGGAACATGGTGGAACGCCTACGTCTACTTTTTGCAGTTTGCAATGACGATACAATTTTGGAAGTTAATGAAATGTTCCAATTTGAAAATAAAACAGTCTCTGTAATGAAAACCCTCTTGGAGCATGGAGCAGAACTGAATGCACAAAGTTATCTGAAACAAACAGCGCTCCATAGAGCTGCTGCTGGAGGTTATGCTGGAGTCGTTGACTACCTGCTGTCGCGGAACGCCAGTTTCAGTATCGAAGATTATCTTTGCTTCACCCCATTCCAGTGGGCAGCAAGTAGGAGAAATGATAAACTACTAAATACTTTGTTAAAACACGGGGATGATGTCAATAGAAACGGATGTAATGTTGTCACAGCTCTTCACATAGCAATTAGAAGGAATGACACTGATTTTATTAAATTTATTCTCTCCAAGAATGCTGATTTGAATGTGATAAGTGAAGACGGACAAACTCCTTTCGATTTAACTATTGATCCTTTATCAAATGAAATAATGAAATTACTGCTTGCTCACGGAGCCAAATTAATAATAACTTTATAAGATCGAAAATTCTTTTCATTCCTGTTTCCAATAAATCAATAGAAATAATAAGGATTATCTAGGTTTCGATTCCTATCCAACAGTTATTCTTAACCACGCCATTGGGACACGGTTTTCAGATGAATTTAATATGCTCATCTCTCACGGAGCAGACGTTGTAGAGAAAGACGTCCATGGTAATCTCCCCCTTACTTTAGCAGTTATGAAAAGAAGTAAAGAGTTCGTTAAATTAATTTTAGAAACAGGAAAGTGTAAAATCAGTAAGAAGAGTTTTCAAACTGTTTTAGTTGCAAATTGTGACCTAGAGCTTTTTACATCACGGAACAACGTTACACATATCCATAATACGACAGCACTGCACGTTGCTTCCTACTACGGTCTCAATGATCTGTTAATATCATTGATCAACGGCGCTGCTTTAGAAGTTAGAGATAGACCATTAGGATATTCACCACTCCACTACGCATGTGAAAATGATCATGTGGAAGTTGTGAAGCTGTCATTGGATTCTGGATGCAACAAAAGTCCTGCCGATATCAACGGCAACACTCTCCTACACATCACCTGCAGAAAAGTTCTGCTTCCAATTGCTAAATTATTACTTTCTGACCCACCTGCAGACATATACCAGCCAGATAACAGTGGATACACACCTCTCCATTTTGCAGCTATGAACGGATTTCTAGAAATAGCCGAGTTGTTATTGAATCTTAATGCTGATAAAGAAGCTAAAATAATTTATTTCAAAACTCCACTGCATTTAGCTTCGCGTGAGGATCATGGGAAAATAGTGAGAATCTTATTGGAGAAAGGAGCTCAAAAAGATGCATCTGACATTGATGGCATGACTCCATTACATTTTGCAGCTAGTGGAGATACTTATAAATCTTTATTCTTTGGCCCACCAATCCGTGGCATTTGACGGATCTTTGATTATCTGATCTTCATCCTCAAGGGATTCCATCCCCTCCTATATCCGTAATTCCAATACTCTACCA